CTTTTTGGTATTTGTATATAAAATAATATGTCATAATAAATAATTTTAGTTGCTGAGGAAGTCTCAAATAGAGACGAAACGTTCAACGGATAAATATAGTGTTCATCTTAATTAAACCCGTCTAAAAAACAACTTCCCTAAGAGTAAACTTAGTAATAATATTTATTAACTGTCTTCAATTTTCCCTTTGAAACTCATATATATTATTTCTATTCTTTTCTTATTTTTTATATGGAATTTCTTACTACTTAACGTCAGTGTTCTAAATAATAAACCTTTAATGACCCAAATTTTTTATCTAATTAGATGATTTGAAAGATAATTTATACATCTACCAGAGCTTGTAGGTTTCACATTGTTATTAAATGATTTCTTCGCTTTTTTTAGCAGCAGTTGTAAAAATATAAATGATTTTTGCTAGATTTTTTGGACTAAACACTTTTTGTTGGTTAGTATACGCTTAAAAACTTGAAAGAAAACGTTTCATAGCTTGTGTTAAATAGCACTTTTTTAGAAATTTTAAGGTTCTTACAACGATTTATACCCGAAACGTGCGACAATTTTTTTTTAAAAACATTAAAAAATTTTTAGTGACAGTAAAAAATATTAAAATAAATTATAAAATTTTTAACGACGGTAAAATGTGCTATTAGAAACCAAACAGAATAGATGTTTGGTTGACTACAATCGAATTTTGTCAACAAATTATTGAATTCTACACGTGAAGTCCCCAAAAGAAGTTGTAATAAAATGAATTTTTTCTCATTTCTTCGACTGCAGTTGTTGAAAAGTAAATGATATATGCTAAATTTTAATGGACATAAAACATTTTTTTTGTTTGTGTACGCTTTAAGACATAAAAGAAAACGTTTTATAGCTTTTGTAATATAACACCTTTTTAAAAATTTTATAGTTTTTAACAACAATATAATTTAGAAAGTAGCGAAAATTTCTTTCTAAATATATTAGAAAATTTTTAGCGGCGGTTAAAATGTGCTACTAGAAACAAAACAGAATGAATGTCATGTTTACTACAATCGAGTTTCGTTGAAAAAGAATTGAATTCTTCACGTAAAGTAACCAAAAAGAGTTGTAAAAAAATGACTTTGTCCCTTTTTTTGGACTGCAGTTGTTAAAATATAAATGTTATTTGCTAGATTTTATTAGACTCAACATTTTTTATTTGTTAGTATACGCTTTAAAACTTGAAAGAAAACGTTTTATAGCTTTTTTTATACAGCACTTTTTTATATATCTGATTGTTTTCAACTATTATTTAATTAAGAAAGCACCGAAAATTTTTTTTAATATATCAAAAATTTTTAGCGACAGTAAAATGTGCTATTAGAAACAAGACAGAATTGATGTCATGTTGACTACAATCGAGTTTCGTCGAAAGAGAATTGAATTCTACACGAGAATTACCAAAAAAAGGCGTAATAAAATGATTTTTTCCCTTTTTTTGGACTGTAGTAGTCTAAATATAAATAATGTTTGCTAAATTTTTTCGGACCCAACACTTTTTATTTGTAATTATACGCTTTTAATTTCGAAAGAAAACGTTTAATAGCTTCTGTTAAATAGCACTTTTACAGAAATTAAAAAAAAAGTGAAAAACTATAAGATTTATAAAGAAGTGCTATATAACAATTGCAATAAAACATTTTCTTTCAAATTTTAAAGCGTACACTAACAAATAAAAAATGTTAAGTCTAAAAAATTTTAGCTTACTTAATTTATATTTCGGCCATTCAGTAAGAAAAAAAAAATCATTTTATTTTAATTTGTTTTATAACTTTACATGTAGAATTTAATTCTTTTTCGACGAAACTGGATTCTAGTCAAACTGATATCTATTATGTCTAATTTCTAATGGCACATGTTTGACGTCGCTTAAATTTTTTTAATATAGTTATGTCAAATTTTCTTTGCTTTCTTGACAGAATAATAGTTGAAAACTATCAGATCCCTAAAGAAGTGCTATATAACAATAGCTATAAAACGTTTTTTTTAAGTTTTAAAGCGGATACTAAAAAAAAACAAGTATTAAGACCAAAAAGTTTTGGCAAACAGCATTTATATTTTAAATACTGCTTTAAGAAAAAAGGGAAAATTTAATTTAATTACAACTTTTTTTGTTTTCTCTACGTGAGAAATTCACTTCTTTTTCGACGAAACTCGATTGTAGTAAACCTGACATACATTCTGTTTAGTTTCTAATAGTACATTTTTACCGTCGCAAATAATTTTTTAATATATTTAAGAAATATTTTTGCTGCTTTTTGGAATAAATAATAGTTAAAAACTATCAGATTTTTAAAGATGTGCTATATAACAAAAGTTATAAAATGTTTTCTTTCAAGGTTTAAAGCGTATACTTACTAATAAAAAGATTTATTTCTGATAAAATCTAGCAAATATCATTTTTATTTTCACAATTGCAGTCCAAAAAAAGAGAAGGAATCATTTTAATAAAACTTTTTTTGGTCACTTCACGTGTAAAATTCAATTCTTTTTCAACAAAACTCGGTTGGAGTCAACTGGACATTCATTTTGTTTAATTTTTAATAGCACATTTTTACCGTCGCTAACAAATTTTTAATATATTCAAGAGAAATTTTCGTGATTTCTGGATTTAATACTAGTTGAAAACTATTAGATTTCTAAAAAAGTGCTATATAACAGGAACTATGAAACGTTTACTTTTAAACTTTAAAGCGTATATTTACAAATAAAAAGTTTTAAGTCCCAAAATTTTAGCAAACATCAAATATATTGCGACCACTGCAGTCATTTAAAGAGAAAAAATATTTTTATTACAACTTTTTTTATTTAATTGAAATGTAGAATTCATTTCTCTTTCGACGAAACTCGATTGTAATCAACCTGACATTAATTCTGTTTAGTCTCTGTTGCGTATCCTACGCAACGAGTAAGTAGGGCGAAGCGCTGGGGCGTGTACAGCCCTGCTAAGTCGTGAGACACGCACGACAAAGCAGTATCTTTGTTTTTGGTGGTAACCACAATAGCGTCAAGATGTTTGTAAAGGGCTCCTTCTTTCTTCTAGCTCGCGTTCTCCTACTACATTTATTACGCCGATCACATGTTTTGACAGCCGCGCTATGCTCGGGCTTTTCGGTGATTGGTCCTGCATTGCATCGCTTTTTAGTATAAAGCCCAGCGCGTTCTTGCGCTTAGCAGCACACTTGATGAATCACGCGTGATTCATCGCTCGAGATTCATCTATCTTAGAAAGCTGAGTCTTGCGAGAACTACTTCAAGGAAAATTATTTTTATTGCGCAATACTACATAATTTTAGTTCAGTAAGCGACAAGGGACAAAGGCGGTCCTGTACTTGGTCAGAATTATCCTGATTTGTACGGATTCTTCGTCAACGTTTCAGCCAGGGTTTTTATTTTGAAAGGCTTTTCCCTGACGAGCCCAATAAAGCGTACTTCTTAGTACTGAATGGGCTCATGTATATTTGTTAGTGTGTTTAATTTTCCTATTCTCCTAACAATTAATAAAGAATCTCGATATCACCCGTATGGGCATTTTTCGATTCACTACATTCCATTGGAGTACCGATTAAAGCATCGGTCGCATCAACAATTTGGTACTTCGAGCCGGATAGGAAGCTTCCTCCTTTCTCTTCGTCCGGCGTCTATTGGGCATACAGTCTTCTTCAACGGAGGAGAAAGAGGCAACGGAAGACTTCCAATCGAGCAACGAAGGAGGTATTGCGTCCTCGGTACAAGCTGAGAAGTTTCTATTGTTCCGGTGTGTGAGTACGCTGCACGGGACACTTTATTCAGAGGATTCACATGAGTTTTGTAATTTCTGTTGTTTAATCATTCTTCAAAGTCGTATTTTTCCCCCTTTTTCTCTTTTTAATTTCGCCTTTTGTCGTGAAAATGCCTCGTTTGAGTAGTGCACGTGGTGATGTCGATCGCGTTTTACAGAGATTCAAATTTTTGAAGAAAGGATTCGTGCAGTTTCAAAAAGCATTAAGCAAAATAGATCGTACTAGCCCGCGCGATATAATGAAATTAAAGATTAGAATTTCCAAAATCGATAAGGATTTAGCAAAATTAGAGGAGATGGTAGAAAAGAACTTTCGGTGAAGCGATGGGAACGCTGGTTGACGACGTTCATAATCATATCGAGGCAGTCATCGATGAAATAGCGAAAGCAAAAATAATTATTAATAGAATTTATTTGGTAGCCACCCAAGATAAAAATTCGCCTACCGCGAGTCGGCTTTCTCCGGTTAGAACTACGGTTAGCAGTCTGTCCGTAGATAGTATTTACAGAATACCGGCGGTGCAATTATTTTAATTTGACGGGCAGCATGAAGAAAAGCTGAGGACACGTTTCAATCTGTGATAGGAAATAATTTTGAACTTCGGGACATACAAAAGTTTGCATATTTAAAATCATGCTTATCGGGACTGGCCGCGGAGAAAATAGGAGTTTGGAAAATTACAGCAGATAATTATCCGATTGCATCGAAGTCCTTAGTCGATTGCTATGACAATCCGTCAATACTGATCAATGGGCACGTGCGAGCTATTTTGGAGGGTCCCCTGATTAACAGTGAGTTTCCGTCGTCTTTAATTGCTGCGTCCGATGCGCTAAATGCAAATTATAGGGCATTAGTAACGACTAAAAAAGTCTTTGTCGATCAATTTGCTACCATTGCTCATCTTTCGCGAGTGGATCCAGCAACACGTCTTTAATGGGAACAACGGTGTTCCTGAGATGCTTTACCGACGGTGGACGAGTTTGTGGTGTTTATACGCAATACGGGAAATGCGCTAGTAAGCGCCACGCCGGCAGAAAAGCCGAGGAGGATTGATAATAGTAGATGGGACGCGTCGGCAAGTCTTGATAAGAATTTTCATTCAAAGAAGTCAATGCGTAACGAGCCGCGTTGTAATTCTCCGCGAAATATCGATTAAAGACAAGTTCAAGATTATTCCTCGAGTGCGACCATCTCGTGTAGCATATGCCGCGAGAAGCAATCATTTATCTGAGTGCGAGCTTTTACGGAGGGCCGAGCCTATGGAGCGCAAGAGAATCGTGAAAAACGCCAATTTGTGCTTGCATTGTTTTCAAGCTGATTATAAGTTTGCACATGTGTTAGGAAAGGCTGCTGCAGAAAAGTGCTAAGGCGGGCAATGTGAGTTGTTACATGTGAAAGAGGTTGTTGCAGAAGGTGCAACGGTGAGCATCACGAGCTTGCGTATATAGGCAGTATCAGAAGGGCACGATGCACATGTAAAGCTCAATCACTCGCGTGCTGCAGCAGTAGTGCATTCGCTAGATCTTGATGGCAGACCACACAGGTGTCATGTACTCTTATATTCGGGTTCCAAAGCGCATTTTCTAATGATCTATATGATCTTTTTTCGGAAATTTTGTACGAGTATCCAAGCAAGTCATGAACGTACTAATATTTACTTTGAAATCGCGAGCAGAAAATTGCAGTAGAATTCAAAATTTTATTATCTTCAGCTGTAACGAATCGGTTACCCTCGCAACGAATTTCGCAAGAAGAATTAGTTATGCTGGTATGGATCCCTTTGGTAGATCACAAATTTCATGAGACCGCGAATATCGACGCTAGTCTCGGTTTCGAGATTTTTACATTACTATRACGCTCAAATCAGAGCATTAGACTGAATGAAATTTAATGGCACCAGGAACTGTGTCAGGATAGCTCGTTATGAAAACAGGAGCTACGCGTATTTCGCGGATCTTTAACTGCTACACGGATACAGTAGAATTGAATTAATTATTGGAGAAATTTTGAAAGATTGAAGAAGTAACTAAGACTAGAGATTATTAGGTCGCACGAGGAAAATTTGTGCAAAGCGCATTATAAAAGTTACACGCCACGGGATGATACAGGCAGATGTGTGGCAAGGCTGCTATTCCAGGAAGAGAATCAGTTAGGCGATTCGTACGCGAGTGCGTTGCGAGGATCTCACGCGTTGCGAAGATTACACGCGTTAAAGCGGTTATTGTCGGGCGAGCCGGAAATTATAAATGAATACATTAAATTCTTATGCGAATATGAAGAACTAGGTCACATGACAAGGATAGAAGGGGGACCCCACGAAGATAGATTTTATATACCGCATCATGCTGTAATAAAGCATATTAGTCTTACGACCAAATTGCGAGTAGTGTTCGACGCGTCGGAAAAAACCGGCAACGGAAAATCTTGGAATAACGTACTAATGGTTGGTCCAACCATACAGGATGATCTGTTTACACTCTTAGTAAGATTTAGTTCACGCGCTATCGCTATTACCGCGGACATCGCGAAGATGTATCAGAAGATAATAATGGACCCGCGCGATCGCAAATACCAAACTATACTTTGGCGTCGGCAGGAAAGTGAGCCCGTCAAAGCATATAAATTAAATACAGTAACTTATGGAACCGCCTGTGCGACGTTCTTAGCATCGCGTATTTTACATCAACTCGGGAGCGTTGAAGTTCACCGATTCCCGAGAGCTGGCATCGTTCTTAAAGAGGATTTCTATGTAGACGACCTGTTAACCGGAGCGCGTACAGTTAGGGAAGCAAAGCGAGTCCGCGACGAATTAATAAGGATAACCGCAGAGGCAGGCATGCATTTTCAGCAATAGGCGTTAAATTGCGCTTAGATTCTAAAAGATTCCGATTCCACAGATAACAAAATCGTAAATTTAGATTCGTCAGGAACGGTAGAAACATTAGGTGTTAATTGGATAACATAAGCTATACGGTAAAGCGAGCCGTTGCTATAGCAATTAAAATCAACATGGGAGAAAAGGTCTCAGCCCGATATACATAAAATATGGCAAGAGTTTCGCCAAAATCTATACACGCTCGAGAAGATAAGATTTGCGTGTAGCATAACGTGTAACGGAAAAGCATTGGAAATGAACGATTTTTACGGCGCGAGCTTTAGGAACCTTTTAGCGCATTAATACTTCCCTGATTTGTTAAAGCGACTAAAAACGCTTTGCGTGGACTTTTAAAAAGGCTATGCTAAATATTTGGACATATATTTTGACAGCACGACTAATTTTGCAGATTCTGCGAACGAAATAGAGGCTCGCGTGTTCGCAAATCTTAGTTAATGAAGGATTCAAGTGGCATTTTATTTTTCTCCACTACCTCATTTTAGCGGTCTATTGGAGTTGGGAAGGAAATCTTTTAAGTACTATCTAGTTAGTCCAGGTAGAATTGTCAGCGAAGCAACGTTATCGTGTGAGGCATTATTAATTTACGTCCTCGAGATAGAGGCTATTCTAAACTGGCGTCTTATCACCCATCGGTCTAATGATTTGAACGATTTGCCTGCTCTTACACCTGGTCATTTTCAATTGGATATTATATTCCGAGTCCGCCAGAGGACGAGTACAGGGATGTATCATCTGGGTGTCTATCGCAATAGCAGCACGTTCAGCGGGTGAGACAGAAGTCCTGGAAATGATGGAATAAGGAATATTTGAAAGAGCAAAGGCCACTAGGACGTGTAACAAGGATAAATACATTAATGGATTAATGCAAATAAAACGCATGGCCACCGCGAAAACTGCCAACGGTCTTGTAAAGCGCGGTATTGAATGTCTTTCTTCTTTGCTAAACGATTTATAAAAAAAAAAAAAAAAAATTTGCTTGTAATTTGGTAGCAACTATTATTAAATATGTGTTGTAATATGCGGTTAGCAGTGTATGAATATGTTTTATAATTTGTATTTTTATTGTGTGTATCTTTTTAGTGTGTGTATTTTCACTTTTTTTTGCATTCAAGGCAGGGGTTATGTTGCATATCCTACGCAACGAGTAAGTAGGGCGAAGCGCCGAAGCGTGTACGGCCCTTCTAAGGCGTGAGACACGTACGACAAAGCAGTATGTTTTTTTTGGTGGTAGCCACGGTAGCGCTAAGATGTTTGTAAAGGGCTCCTTCTTTCTTCTAGCTCGCGTTCTCTTACCACATTTATTACGCTAATTACATGTTTTGACAGCCGCGTTATGCTCGGGCTTTTCGGTGATTTGTCCAGCATTGCATCGCTTTTTATTATAAAGCCTATCGCGTTCTAGCGCCTAGCAGCACTATTGAAACATCACGGGTGATTTATAGCTCGAGATTTATCTACCTTAGAAAGCTGAGACTTGCGAGAACTACTTCGAGGAGAATTAATTGTATTGCGCAATACTACATCATTTAGGTCCGGCCAGCGATATGAGACAAAGTCGGTCCTGTACAGGGTCAGAATTATCCTGATTTGTACGGATTCTTCGTCAACGTTTCAACCAGGGTTTTTATGCTGAAAGGCGTAATTAATTTAATTAGCCCTGACGAGCTAAATAAAGCGTACTCTTTAGTACTGACTAGGCTCAAATATATTTGATATTGTGTTTTATTTTTCTATCCTTCTTCCTATTAATAAAAAATTTCGATATCACCCGTAATAGCATTTTTTGATTTACTACAATCTACTAGAGTACCGACTAAGGCATCGGTTGCATCAACAGTCTCTAATAGCACATTTTTACCGTCGCTAAAAATTTTTAATATATTAAAGAAGATTTTTTGCTGCTTTCTGGATTAAATAATAGTTGAAAACTATCAGTTTTCTAAAGAAGTGCTATATTACAAAATCTATAAAACGTTTTCTTTCAAGTTTTAAAGCGTGTACTAACAAATATAAAGTTTTAGATCGAATAGAATCTAGCAAATATTATATATATTTTAGAAACTGCAGTCCTAGAAGAGAGAAAAAATCATTTTATTTTAACTTTTTTCGGTTACATTACGTGTAGAATTCAATTGTTTTAGACAAAACTCGATTGTAGTCAACCAGACTTTCATTCTCTTTAGTTTCTAATAGCACATTTTTATTGTCGCTAAAAAATTTTTAATATATTTGAAAGAATTTTTTGCTACTTTTTGAATAAATCGTAGTTAAAAATAAAAAAATTTCTAAAAAATTGCTATTAATCAGAAGCTATTAAACGTTTTCTTTCAAGATTAAAAGCGTATACTTACAAATAAAAAGTGTTAGGTCCGAAAAATTTTGGCAAGCGTTATTTATATTTAAAACTTCAGTCAAAAAAAAAAAATTTATTTTATTACAACAGTTTTTAAATACTTTACAGTTAAAAATCAGTACTTTTTTAACAAAACTCGATTGTAGATAACCGGACATTCATTTTTTTAGTTTATGATAGCGCATTTTTACCGCTGCTATAAATTTTTCATTACATTGAAAAGAAATTTTTGCAGCTTTTCGGATAGAGTAGAAGTTAAAAACTATCAGATTTATACAAAAATGCTATAGAACAAAATCTACAAAACGTTTTTATCAAGTTTTAATGCGTATTCTAAAAAATAATAAGTAGTAAGTCCCAAAAATTTTAACATACATCTCTTATATTACGTGAACTGCAGTCAAAAAAAAGGAAGAAACCATTTTATAAAAACTTTTTATATTTACTTTACGTGTAGAATTCAGTTCTTTTTTGACGAAATTCAATTAAAGTCAATCTGACATTCATACTGTTTAGTTTCTAATAGCACATTTCTACTGTCGCAAAAAATATTTTAATATTTAAAAAAGATCTTTCGCTGCATTCGGGATTGTGTATTACTTGAAAACTATCAGATTTCTAAAGAAGTGCTATACAACAAAAGCTTTAAAACGTTTTCTATCAAGTTTTAAAGCGTATACTAACATATATAAAGTGTTAATTTTACAAAGTTTTGTTAAACGTCATTTATATTTTGACTACTGCAGTCAAAGAAAGAGAAAAAATCATTTTATTAGAACTTTTTTTAGTTACTTTACGTTGAGAGATTAATTCTCTTTCGACGAAATTCGGTTGTAGTCAACCTTCTATCCATTCTTTTTAGTTTTTAATTACAAATTTTTACCCCCTCTAAGAATTTTTTAATATATTTAAAAATAATTTTTGCTACTTTTTTGATTAAATCGTAGTTAAAAACTATAAAAATTTCTAAAAAAGTGCTATTTAACAAATGCTAAAAACGTTTTTTTTGAGGTTTAAAGCGTATAATTAGAAATAAAAAGTGGTAGGTCTTAAAACGTATAGCAAACATTATTTATATTTCTTCCACTGCAGTCAAAAAAAAAAAATCATCTTATTACAACTTTTTTTGGTTACTTTACGTGTAAAATATATTTTTTTTCGACGAAATTCGATTGTAGTCAACCTGACATCCATTCTGTTTAGTTTTTAAAAGCACATTTTTACCGTCGCTAAAAATTTTATTAATATATTAAATAGTAATTTTTCTTACTTTCTGAAATATATTGTAGTAAAAAACTATAAAATTTCTAAAAATGTGTTATTTAACAGAAGCAATGAAACGTTTCCTTTCAAGCATTAAAGCGTATACTTACAAAAAAAAAGTTTCAGGTCTAAAAAATTTTAGCTTACATCATATATATTTCGATCACTGCAGTCAAAAAAAAAGAAAAAATCATTTATATTAGAAATTTTTTTGGTTACTTTACGTGTAGAATTTAATTATTTTTCGATGAAACTCGATTTAAGACATCCTGACATCCATTCTTTTTAGTTTCTAATAGCAAATTTTTACCGTCGCTTATAATTTTTTAATATACTTAATAGACATTTTCGCTGCTTGTTAGATTGTATAATAGTTCAAAACTAWCAGMTTTCTAAAGAAGTGCTATATAAAAAAGCTTTAAAACGTTTTCTTTCAAGTTWTTAARCGTATACTAACAAATAAAAAGTGTTAGGTCCGATAAAAACAAGCAAATATTATTTCTATTTAATCAACTGCAGTCCCAACGAAAAAAACAAAAATATTTTATTGCAACTTTTTATGGTTACTTTTCGTGTAGAATTAAATTCTTTTTTGACGAAATTTGATTGCAGTTAACTTGACATCCATTGTGTTTAGTATCAAATTACACATTTTTACCGTCGCTAAAAATTTTTCCATATATTTTTATTAAATTTTTGCTGCTTTCTAGATTAAACAATATTTAAAAACTATTAGATTTCTAAAGAAGTGTTATATAACAAAATCTATAAAATGTTTTTTTCAAGATTTAAAGTTTTGACTAACAAATAATAAGGGTCAAGTCCGATAAAATCTAGCAAATACAATTTATATTTATACAATCGAAGTCCAAGAACAGAGAAAAAATCAATTTATAACACCTCTTTTTGGTTACTTTACGTGTAGAATATAATATTTTTCCGACGAAATTCGATATTAGTCAACCTAGCATCAATTCTGTTTAGTTTCTAATAGCTCATTTTACCGTCGCTTTAAATTTTTTTATATACTTAATAGACATTTTGGCTGCTTTTTAGATGAAATAATAGTTGAAAACTATCAGCTTTCTAAAGAAGTGCTGTATAAAAAAGCTTTAAAACGTTTTCTTTCAAGTTTTTAAATGTATACTAACAAATAAAAAGTGTTCAGTAAGATAAAATTTAGCAATTACTATTTATAGTTTAACAAACGAAGTCCAAAAAAAGAGAAAAAATAAATATATAACAACTTTTTTCGGTTACATTACGTGTAGAATTCAATTCTTTTTGGACTAAACTCGATTGTAGTCAAGTAGACTTATATTCTCTTTAGTTACTAATAGCA